ACTTTCACTCAAATAAACTTAAGATCACAAGCTGACAGACTGGAGATAAAGAAAAATAAGCAACTTTTTTATTTCATACCAATATTCATGTTTATGGGGCTGGAGCGATAGCACAGTGAAGGGCATTTGCCTTGCACGCAGCCAACCAGGGTTCGATTCCCAGCATCCCATGTGGTCCCCTAAGCACCGCCAGGAGTAATTCCTGAGTGCAAAGCCAGGAGTGGCCCCTGTGCACCACCAGGTGTGACCCAAAAAGAAAAAACAAATGCGTGTTTACTTTATCTTTAAATCTCATCTATATAGATTCAAATCGAAATAAACTTTTAAAAATGATACTATTGCTTATGTTAGGCAATGATTCAAGCCTTGGCACAGTGAGCAGCATCCTCGGCTTCTTCTCATTGTATTATCTTTATTTCACGTCTTCCTGTGACAAATAAAAATATCTCTAAATTATCCACTGGGGGAGGGACATAATCACTTTAATTGACACTTTAACATTTCATTTTTCATCATCCTGTTAATCGTCGATTGCCTCGAGCAGGCCCCAGTAACGTCTCTTTCATCCTAGCCCTGAGATTATATTCAGGGCTCTTTAGGAGAATGAGACCCATCATTGTTACTGGTATTTGGCATATTTGGTACGCCACAGGGAGTTTGCCAGACTCTGCCCTGTGGGCAGGCTACATTCGATAGCCTGCAAGTTTGTCCAAAGTAGGAATGAGACAATAAGATGTCATAAAAAAAAGTTCTGATAATTCCGGGATCTGGATTTTATAGTCTCTGAGTCTTGGCCGCTGATGGGATTACACGGCGCCAGGGGGCCAGGTGGTGGGTGTGACCCCCGCCTACTGGAATTTGGAGGATCTGGGTGGAAGATGCTCGACTCCAATTCGAGTAGGCTTGGAGGTCTCGGCCCCGGAACCCGCGTGGCTTTGTCCCTCTGCCAGTACCTTCATGTGTGCGGAGAGTGGTCTCAGCATGGTGGTGGCTGGTCCTGGAGGTCTTCGGCTGCCGTAGCCCTGGTCGGGGCGGGGAGGAAAGCTCAACCCGCTCCCCTCCAAGGGACTCCGGGAAGGAACACCCAGGCGCGGGGGCAGAGACTGCACTTTTCTCGTCCGGGATCTGGATTTTATAGTCTCTGAGTCTTGGCCGCTGATGGGATTACACGGCGCCAGGGGGCCAGGTGGTGGGTGTGACCCCCGCCTACTGGAATTTGGAGGATCTGGGTGGAAGATGCTCGACTCCAATTCGAGTAGGCTTGGAGGTCTCGGCCCCGGAACCCGCGTGGCTTTGTCCCTCTGCCTCTGACACTTTAACAGCACCAGACAAATGTTGACTATCTCCATTACATACTTTTTATGTCCCATTTTCTAATTATATAAAATCTAATTAAAATACTGGTCTCAATTAAAATAAATTCCATTAAATCTAATTAAGACACTCTTCTATTGTATGGAGAAATTAGTGTTCACTATTACCCCTTAGTTCTACATTGAATTTTATTAAATATTATAGAGTTGTGATACATAGGTACTTACTGAGGAATAGCATTGTAAAACATAGTTGCTGGAATAAAGGATTCACAGAATCAAGTCCATAAGACAATGGCTGAAATATTTTTCATCAGATGCAAATTCACATATTTTACACAAGCATAACTACATGGTTAGCATGTACCTAAAACTTTGATATTTTTTCCATTCTGCTCAGACCTTTCTTTTTATTAAAGCAACTACAATTGTTATTATAATGTAATGGTGCATAAATATGACCTCGCAGAAATCAAATACTTTGATCTAAGAGTGTATTTTTCACATAATATTTAAGACACCATAATCAAATACTAAACAAAATGCAAGACTCTCCAATTGTGGTTTAAAAAGTGCTTTATTAAACCTGTACATAGAATTCACTTTTTAAGTACAAAAAATTCTAGGATTGTCATATAAAATGTGAGCAATGAGTGGTGGTATATCTTCCTTTCCTTTTGCTTTTCTAATCTAATATTTTCTATAATGAATGCTTTAAGCATTAATAAAAAAATTTCATTTTCTTATTCAAACAATTTTAGCATTGTTTATAGCCTATTAACTAGGTTTTTGTTCACTGCTAATATTAGTCTCATTTCCTGAGTTTTATAATGGTTTTTTCAAACACTTATGCCAAAATTTTCTTACACTAGGCATTTCCTATTAACCAAAGTTAAAAGTTGAAAAATTTAATTTTGTAGGAAAATTATGTATAAATCTACTATCTTATAATTAAAGTTAGAAAGTAATTATTCTAAGAAACTATAGCTCTTATCCTTCTATTTCAGTTTGACACGAACTGTCAAACTTCTTTTAAAAGAAGAACTCATATACATTTTAATTTGGCATTCCCTATTCAGTAAAAATTCAAATTTTTATTGTGGAATTTTGACAATCCTAGCATTGGCAAGATTTTACCTCATTGCTCTCTACCCCTCCCCCCAAAAAAGGAACGATTGATTCGAAAGGTTTAACCTGGTAAAAATGATATATTTTGATCAAAAAAAAACTGCATTGCTATCTAATCATATGTTTCTCATTAGACTTCTGCAGATCCTAAGTGCTGAGAATAAATGTAGCATTCATATAATACTATAGTCCTTGAAAAGATTGTATTCTTTTATTGTTTTTGTTCATACATGTTAAGTTTCAACTTTCAATAATAAAATTTAATAAATTTGATTCCTTACTCATAAAAACTTGCTTTTATACATTATTTACATAGTTGCCAAGTCCACAGCATACAAAATATCGCAAGGATTTGACTATGCATGGAGAAGGGAACTATTCAAGTAACATACATTCAAAAATTAAATTGTAGATATGCACAGTGTATTTGGCACTGTTCATTAACATCATAACACCTCCCTTTCAGAAACAAGTTCTCTTAAGCCTTAGTTACAATCTCCCTAAATTTTGCCATTCACATCATAGACAGCTTTCAAACACTGTAATAATAAATCAGTCTTAAGAAATAAAAACACAATCAAACTTGGGAATGGAAATCAAACCCTCAAACTTCTTGCTATGTTTCAAGCTGCCATCCATATAGTAGGTTTTATTTGATCATTTTTCCTTGGGGGATAAGAAACAACATAAGACAGTATTTTTTTCACACATATAAAGACAAACAACACATTTCTTTAAAAGTATCATTTCTTATTGGGAATACAAAAACAGTCCTGATGATTAAATTTGTGACTGATGATCACAATTTGTGATGACACTGCAGGAATTATTGGATGTCCAATGCCATTCAGGTGTGGAGATCATAACTGGTAAATTCATGAGAAGGCTTGAAAATGGCTCTCTGCATTTAGAATCCTTAACAACTTATTATAAAGATTTCTTCCTAGGACTGCAACAGACTTTTATACATTTATTTTGATATGTAATATGACAATGCTATGAAATGGAAAGAGGATGTAAAAGTACACAGACTTAATTAATACTCATTTGGATACTTTGGCTATATCCCAGGGAAATTTGACTAACTTCATTTTAGCAAACACCAAAATCTCGTCACTTTAAATTAGGCCCATTACATTTTATCATTAAAGCCTTACATATTCAAGAATGTTTACAAAAGACACATATCATCTTAGTAAGAGGCATGAAGTCAAGCAAACAAAAATCCTCAATAGAACATGAATTCCAGTAGAGAGGACCAGAAATCAGAAATTTTCTGGTTATGTTTAGAGATGTGTTCTACACACATGAAACTCAGCAAGAGAGCTGGAATGATAGTACAGCTGATAGAGTGTTTGCCTTGTATGCAGTTGATCCAGGCTCAATCCCTGGCAGCCTGTGTGGTACCTGAGCCCACCAGAATTTCTTAATGCAGAGCTGGGAGTAGGTCCTGAGTACTGCCAGGTATAGCGCCACCCATCCCCCCACCAAAAAAAAAAATACAAAACATTTAGCAATAAATTAAGAGTCAAAGAAAATTGCAATGTATAAAAAGAATTATGTGGTGCAAAGTAATGTCACTGGACCAAGCTTGAGTTTAATCATTTTATTTCAAGTGTATTTTTAAAATCATAAATGGGGTTTAATAATCCAGAGCAGAATCATTTCATCTTTTTTTCATAACTTGAGAATTTGATAAGTAATTTTCACTTCTTGCTTTCCAAATCCTCTTCTTTGCTAATTGAGACTTCTGAAAGCTAGTATTTAAATTAATCATTCCGATGTACAATTTTTGATCATATACTTGTTGATAAGACTTATCTGAAAACAGCCCATCAAATATAAATAATGGTTTCTGTCCAACTATCAACAGTGAGGGAAGAAATACTAAATACCTATCAAAAATCATTTATTCATTAAAAAAATAACAGAACCAGTGCTGTTCTCTGTCATGAAAGAGAACATGTAAAATTAAGCTATACTTGTAGACTTTGGTAATATTTTATTACCTATACAAGTCTCAACCATACTTTTATGCAAAGTCCCCATCAGGATTTATCAAATAAAAATCCTGGGCACTAATATGACCCTCTATGTGCTATTCCACAAAGGAACAGGTTACTTTTGAGGAAAACAGCTGCCTTGGTCACTTCCCTCAAACATTCATTTGAAATAAAAATGGTTAATGGCTATATTTTTTAAGCCAACTTTGGGTACTACCTATTTCACTGCCTACCACAAAAAAGGAAATCAAAAGTTTCCTTTTTTTTTTAAAGGAATTTTGCACTGTTGCCTTTAGGCATATGACTTTTTCCACTTTGTTCTGGCTGCCTAATATTAATGTTTTTAAGTATAAGTTCTACATTTCATATCAATAGTAAGACTTCTTTTTCAAGTCATCTTCACAGCCCTGAAGACAGCAAAGCAACAAAATCAAGTCACATTGTTTGACTATAATAAAGAGATGAGATGGGCGGATACCTAAAAGTGGATATTCTCTTGGCTCCACAGGTAAGTTTTTAACATGTGAGCAACAAAAAATCCTTCATTCCTCTGGAAATCACTTAATCCCAAAATGTTTTATTTAATAAGCCAATATATTATTCTTAAAAATTAAAGTTTGGTCACCTAGTCGCTAAGTATAACAGAACAGAAATCATTCCCACCCCCTCAAAACACTAAGCAGCACTAATCATCCCGATTCTCCCCACAAAAACAGGGCGGAGGTTGAGATTGAAGCATTTAAATCTGAAATTTCAGGTCCTAAAACAATGCTGCTATTTGCTCAAAGTTACAGGTCTATATATTTCCTTCTCCAATACTTCTACTCATACACATTCTCTCTCTCTCTCTCTCTCTCTCACACACACACACACACACACACACACTCATTCTTACTCTCAAGTAAGACACTTTTTTGTGTTTGTTGATAAATTATGAGGATTATGAACTAGGTTTGTACAGGGTTTCATAGGTGCTTTGTAAACATCAGAGTCACTTGGGTCCTTTCCTCCAAAAGTCTGACACAAATGATGCAACCATGGATGACTACTTTCCCAGACGCTGTTCACAGGCTGCATATTGACAAAGGGCAGAGAAAAAGTCCTCGTAACTGATGTTTAGGTGGGAAGGCAAAGAGCTGAAAAGAGAGCACAGGTGGGGGAGAAGCAATTAGATGATGCACTGTAACTCAATGTGGTAACCAGAAGGATGACCAAAAAGATTAAGATTAAAAAGTTATAAGCATAAAGTAGGTCAAATCTGTACTATGAAATAATTAACACAGTAAAAACAGTTAAAATCAATGATGATGTTTCCTTTCCATGAAAAAAGAGCATCAACTTGTACTGAAAGGGAGATTTGGAACCTACCACAACAGCCCACTGGTAGCACAGTTGGCTGAGGGCATGTTTTACCTGTGGAAGGCTAGGTTTGAATTCAGATACCACTTGGTCCCCTGAACTGAACTCAGGTAAGTGTAGCTCCCACAAAACAAATAAGCTAATAGAAACAGTATAAGAATACTAAATCAAAGGAAAATTGGAGATGGATATATGAAGAATATCCCTCAAATCCACTTTTAGAACTCTTTGCAAGTAAAGTCAGTTCTACTTAAAAGGTTTAATGTTGCCAGCATAGCATCCATTCAGAACTGCATGTTAATGGCATGTGGTAAACAACCAATAACCGAACAACATATAGCTCCATCATTTCCAAGTTCTCAAGCAGTCAATTTATGAGGCAAAGACAAGAGAGTGATGGAACTGGAGTGACAGTACAGTGGGTAGGGCACTTGCCTTGCACATGACTAACCGAGGCCTGATCCGCAGCACTCGTACGATGCTCCTGATCACCACTAGGAGTGATTCCTGGGTGCAGAGCCAGGAGTAAGCTCTGAGCATGGTCATGTGTCACCCAAACCCAACCATTCCCAAACTTAAAAATGAAGAGAGAATGAACACAGAAGGTTTTCCTCTAAGTACTATACACACAACACATTTTAATAATTAACATTCAAAAATTATCATTTATACAACTTTTTGTAAAATTCTAGAAACTCCCAACTCTATCGAAGTCAACCACCCGGTCAGAATACAAACATCACACTGGCAATTGCTGTCAAATGAACTACTGAAAAGAACTGAAAAGCGCACTATGACCAAACACCTCCACTCCACCACGGTTTTCCACTCCTACGCCTTCTTTATTCTTCCTTTTCCTCTCCTACATTTACTGAGAAATAACCGATCTATAATCTTTATGCCTGCTTGCTTTCACTACCAGGAATTCTGAAACAATTTACCTACAGTCCTCTATTTCCTTATCTCAGTAATCACTATCTTTCATTAACTCTACAGCAGTAATATCTACTACTAAGTAAATAATATGCTTCTTGCTAACATCTAAAATAGTCTCCTTAAAATACCTACTTTCTAAATCTTTTCCAAAAGCCTCATCTTCAATCACTCCTCAGTAAGTACTTATCAATAGAAACTCAGTACCTGGCAAGTAGCCTTGCCATTCTCTAATTTACTCCACATTTTTAAATGCCAATTTACAAATTAGAGCAGTTTTCCAAAACCATGTTATGAACTACAAAGTCAAGATTCAAATCACTATCTGTTCTCAAACTTACTCCTCCCTCCTAACCACTACCACCTGGACAAGGTATCAATGACACCTATCTCAAAGAAGGCTGAAAAGATGAGGAAAACTCATAGAGAAAAGGAGACAAGAGAAACAGGCCCCCAATAAGGACATCTGAGACCAGAAATCTGATTTCTCATTCTACTTTGGTAAAAGCCTAAGCAAAGTCTCTTCCCTTTTTTCCTCACCTACAAAATAAGGAAAGGCCAAGTAATTTACAACCCTTTCTGACTCCAACATGCTACTGATCTTTTCAACCTCTTCAGGTCATCCTTCTCTACGCTGACCCCAAGTCTCCAGAGATCTTTAAAAGGCCCTATGATACTGTGCCGATCTATGCATACTTTAGAGACGTCAACTCTATTGCTTCTACTACTGGTTCAACAATTTCTCTCCCTTGATATTGACAATCCACCAATGGCCATCTTCAGCTTTAACTTAACTCATTTACCTTCCTAAGTATTTCCATCTAAACAGACAATGACTTTAAAACCATGTTAGCTTCCAATTTCAAACCAATGCTCTCTTAGTTCAATGGTTTCTCTCATTAACATTCTAATTCAATCTGTCACTAAGACTTAAAAAAAAAAATCAGGAGTACTCTAATTTTTGCCATACTAAGTAAAGGGCTAGGTCTGCCATTATATTTAGCAAACACTTCTAAAAAGAGATAGAATTAAAGTTATTTTCTTAAGACCCAGATTTTTTTTTTCCTGAGGAGTGGAAAATTCTGGCAACACCCAGCAGTGCTAAAGGGCTATTTCTGACTTCCTGCTAAGGAGTGACACCTGGTGATGCTCAGGGGACCATATGCAGGGTCAGGTATCAAACAGAGGTCGTGGTATCAAAGGCAAGTGCCCTTAACACTTGTATAGACTATCTCTCCAACCCTATGACCCAGAATTTAAAGGCTACTGTCTCCTTTCCCACACACAAACCCCAGTTTTGAAGCTACTCCCAGTGGTGTTGGGAATCATGCAGTGTCAGGAATTGAACCCAGGGTTCCTGCATGCAGAAGATGCACCTCTTTTAGCTATTTCTCTGGCCTGTTTCATCATTTTAAATCAAGATTTGGCATATATATAGCCTATGAACTTGTCGCTTTCTTTTGACAACAATCCTGCACATTTATTTATGTATTTATTTCCGATGTTGCTTAGCTAATTAATAATATTTTACAAGAGAAGTTTGCAAGAGATTGCGTGGCCAACAATAAATTATTTATCATCTGGTCTTTTACACAAACTGTGCTGTCCCCTGCTTTAAATAAGCAATTTCATTCTCATCACTATACTCTCCCCTACATTTTAGTATGGACTTTCCACTAGTCATTTTACCTCATCTATTCCCAAGTCCAGTCACTCTAGTACACAGCTGCCAAATAAATCTTTTAAAATCACTATTCTTAAACTATGTTACTGACTATCTACACAAGTTAACACCTGAACTATGTGAGTTCACCTTATATATTACTAACTCCCTGCTTTAATGTCTGAACTGGTGCCACTTTGCTGTTTCTTTAAAACATGATGCTAATTTCATACCTCCCAGCTTACTCCACCCCCTAAAGGCTTCCTAGACCTAGACCCTATACTTCTCACCTTCTAATTACAAAAATTTTATGTTTACACAATCCTGATCAACTCCCATCTTTTCTGCAGAATCAACAACTCTGGCCCACAAGAGACTATCCCTCACTCCTTATCTATAACAACTAGTGTCAATACCAAACATCTGCACAACACCACTCTCTGTTTTACTAGAGTCAATTACATGTTTCTTTCTTGTATCACTGATACTGTGAAATACTGAGGGAAAGGATTCCATATAGACTATAAAGCTTTGGGAACTCCCACCACATTTAGTATAGCACTTTACTCAATATTTGCTGGAACCAAGGTGTGCTTTTAACTACTTACACAATCTCAGTCAATCTGATGTGCCAGGGAAGAAAGCCTAATGTGCTGTCTACAGGTCCAAACTTCAAGACTAAATCAGGATCGGGGAAACCATTTGAACCTAAGAGAGAAATATGAGTAAGTTTAACAGGTATTGCTTACAAATAAAACCACCAAGAACAAAATCTGTTGATCAAACTAGTTTCAAGCGATTTAAGTATTTTCTTTAGCAGCTTTGTTTATACGTTGCCATATCCTTACTCTTGTGCTAACCATATATTTTAAAGTATGTTCTTTTCCCAAACACGGACATTTTCTCTGAAGACTCCTTGCCCCTAACTATAAAGTAGGACTGACTGTGTCATCAAGAGGGATAAATTACCATAAACCACATAGGCAGCTCCCAAACCTCAACCATTATCCAAGAATCAATGCTTTCCTGCCACCCTGGAAACTACACTGCTTAGAATGACACAAAACTTATCCTAGCCACAGAACAAAAAACATCAATGATGGAAAGGCACTTGAATGTAATGCTGATTACAAAACTCTGGGAGGCAGAAAGGAATAATAACCAGACTACAGGACACAGGGGCAGCGGTGGAGGGTTGTGAGCACTTTGGTGGTGACTTTGTATATCGATACCACATACTTTGGTAATAATACAACTAACCCAAACTGTAATAAAATTTAAAATATGTAAACATAAAAAATAAAGGGGAAAAAAGTATCTATTCTTTCTTTCCCCATGCTCCTAATTTAATACTAAGGACCAGAAAAGACAAACTCCTAAGAATTCAGTATAAATGTATTCAGTATTTCAGGAATCCCAGTCCTTTAGGAAAGGGAATGGGAGGTACAATTGCCTCAACAAAGTATGGCTGTTTTTTTCTGTTTTTAAAATTGGTTTCTTTTCTGAGAGGGTTTTTTTTTTTGTTTTGAAGGGGACATATAGGTGATTTTTCAAATGCTTAAGCATAAAACTAAGTCTTAAAACAGTCAGTGGTATAATAGGATACTATTACCCAAGAGAACCAGCTGATAACAGCTTCTAAACTTCACAATTTTGCCACTACTTTTCTTGTCACAGACCCAGTTTGTGCTGGAAGAAGCTAACAGACCCTAAACTTTAACCTCTGAAAACTAAAGGTTTCTTTCTTTCACAGAAACTTGCCAGTGGTCTACGTGCCAGCTTTCGCTAACATAAAGGATGTTGGGTTAAAGAAAGGGAGATTATGAAGGTTTTCCAGAGGTGTGTGTGGGGGTGGGGGGCTGGGGATAGGTATCTGACCACAAACAAGGCAAGCATCTTAATCACACCCCAATACTATCTCTCTGGCACCCCAGGAAGACATTCTTAATGGAGATATAAATATTTGCCTTCTGCCTTCGGGGCCCTGAGCATGAAACTGACCTTAGCCAAAGATATATTCTAGGAGCAGACTTTTACTTCCCTGCAAAACATTATGGCCAGAAATCTAACAGGAAAATTCAGAAGTAGGGGTTCAGCTCAACTTTCCACTTACTCAGAGCTAACTGGGAAACTAAAGGTAAGAAAAGAGAGAAAACCCAATAAAAAAAATAAAAGCCAAGAAGACTTGAGAACTGGTAATAACTCTAAATGTACTTGCAAACATCACACAAAAATCATAGGAGCTTACAAACTAAAGGTGTTTGAACACAAGTATACAAACCATTGACTGACACATTAAACTACACAAACAGGAAGTCAGACTAAAAAAATTAAATTAAAAATAGAAATAATGAGCAAAACAGCGGTAGTGGTTTTCAATTATAAACAATTTTTGTAAATAGAAAATTCTAAGACTCTACCAAAAAAAAAAAATTTAGAATTACTTTAGAACTGAGTAAACTTTACAAGATGACATGATATAAAAATGTTATTTTAAAACATCAACTATATGGGCTAGAGAGACAGCACAGCGTGTAGGGTGCTTGTCTTGCATGCAGCAATCCCAGGTTCAATCCCCGACACCCCATATCCCCAAGAGCTAGCTAGAAGTAATTCCGGAGCACAGAGCCAGGAGTAACACCTGAGCATTAGAAGGTCTGACCAAAAATCCTTAAAAAAAAACAAAACTGTATTTTCATATATGATTAACAAGTAATCCAAGCACTTTTTTAAAAAATTAACCTATTAACAACAGGATAAAAAAAAGTACATTTTATTAATAAAAAGTATGTCACTGTATGTCACTGTCCTCTCGTTGTTCATCGATTTGCTTGAGCGGGCCCAGTAACATCTCCATTGGAGACTTTGTTGTTACTGTGTCTGGCATATCGCATACGTCACGGGGAGCTTGCCAGACTCTGCCGTGCGGGCGAGATACTCTCGGTAGCTTGCCGGGCTCTCCGAGAGGGGCGGAGGAATCAAACCCGGGTCGGCCATGTTGGCTGTGTGCAAGGCAAACGCCCTACCGCTGTGCTATCGCTCCAGCCCAATAAAAAGTAGAAATCCTAAATTCTAAAATTACAAAATACTGTTGAGAAAAATTAGGACCCATATAAATGGAGAGATATGTTATGTGTATGGATTGAAAGACTCATATTGTTAAATGAAATCCTCCCTAAACTGAACTACAAATCTGACTGAATCCCTATCAAAACAGAGGAGACATATTTAAGTTATGTGTGTATATGTATATGTACATATTTGTTTTTTGTTGACAAGCTGATCCTAAAATTTATACAAAAAAACTAAGGATACTGAGTAACCAAAGCACCTTTGACAAGGAAATGACAGATGGTTAGAGTAATCAAGATGGTCTGGGATTGTTAAAACATAACTTTAAAAACAAACTCAAAGATGTATGGCAAATTGATTTTCAATAAATGAAATATCACAATCATTCAAAAGGGGTAGAGAGTTCTATTAAAAATTTGCAAAAGAGGCTGCCATCCTCCAGAGGCCACTGGACAATCAGGTTTGGGCCTGCAGTGACGAGACATGTGGGGCCTCACGGGATGGGGGTGGAGCCGGCCCTTTCCTCCCCAGAGTTGCTGCCCACGAACAGCCTCTCTGGCTCCTGATCAAGCTGCTTAACAGCCATGATCCCAGGGACTTAGAAATCTCAGAACCCAGTGGCTTTTGACAGAAATGCGTCGGGACCCTGCAGTAGGTTACTGTCGCCGGGCCACCCTAGGGGGGAAAGACTGTTGTCCCTCCACCTGCTCCCCCTAGGCGGCTCGGTGGCCGCCATCCTCCAGAGGCCATTGGGCAATCAGGTTTGGCCCTCAGTGATGAGACATGCAGAGCTTTATGGGATGGGGATGGAGCTGGCCCATTCCTCCCTGTCCCAACAAGACCCCAAGTCGCCGCCCATGAATGGCCTTTCTGGCTTCTGATCAAGCTGCTTAACAGCCATGATCCCAGAGACTCAGGAACAAATGTCGGAATCCAGCAGGTTTTGGCAGAAATCCCTCCAGATTTAAGTGTTAAAATTTCGGAATTTCAAAATCACATGGCCCTATTGCAGCCACGCGATACCACATGTTATTCATAAACAGCAATAGAAAACAAATTGTCTACTGTTGCCTTTTCAGCAGATCTGAGTGTTGGGGTAAAATCCCAAATAATAATGGTGGGTCTGGTGTCAAAATATTGAATGTAATCAAAGTAGAGAGAGAGTAATGTGGAAATCATCTGCCCCACAGGTAGGGAGAAGGTATGGGATGGGGGTATACTAGGGTTGTTGGGGGTGGAGAATGGGCACTGGTGAAGGTATGGGTGTTTCACTGTATGACCGAGACTTAAATCCAAAAGTTTTGTAACTGCTCTCATGGTGATTCAATAAATAAAATTATTAAAAAAAAAATTAAAAAAAAAAGTCAGGTGGAGTTCAGCTAATCAGTGGTTGAAAAAATAGCAGTACTCCTACATAAAAAAAAAGAAAGAAAGAAAATTGTAAAAGAAAAATTGGCATCCTAATTTAGATCACAATTTACATGTAGCAAATAGGTAAAAAAATTTAGCAGAAAAGTTAGGAGATAACTGTGACACTGGGTTAAGCAAAGGCTTTTAAACTAGGGCACAAAGACAATTCATAAAAAAACTTTAATAAAATGTATTTCATAAAAATTAAACATTAGATCACTAGGAAAAAGATTAGCCATGGGATATGAGAAAAAAATGCAAATCACATACTTGATGACTAGTAAAGCACACATTACCAGAATATACAAAGACCTCTCAAAACTCACTAATGATAAAAATCCTTAGTAGGAGGCAGAATATTTTAACAGCACTTCAACAAAAAAATCAGCTGACAAATTCACACATGAAAAATGCTCAATGTTATTAGTCATCAGGAAAATGTGAACTAAAATCACAATGAAACACTTATTGTACATATCCATTTCGATGACTAAAAAGAAAAAGCAACAAAATATTATGTCTTGGAGAGACAGAAATGCTCTATATTAGCTTATGTTATATAAAATAGTATGGCCTCCTTAGGAAACTGTTGGGCAGTTCTTAAAAGAAAATATTATGCTGAGGGGCCAAAGAATAGAGTGAGTAGGGCACTTGCCTTGCATGCAGCTGACCCAGGTTCAATCCCAAGCACCGTATAGGTCCCCTGAGTCACACCAGGAATGATCCCTAAGCACAGAGCCAGGAGTAAGCCCTGAGCATGATGAGGTGTAACCACCCCACCATCACCCAAAAAAAAAAACAACCAAACCAAAAAAAACTGAGTAAACAAAGCATGACATAGCTTTGTGGCATAATTTTAATTTTACAACATTTCTTAAAAAGGCAAAAGTATATTCTGAAAGCAGATCAGTAGTTCAATTCATGTAGGAAGTAGGAATGGGATTAACTGCAGTCACAAGAAAATATCTGGAGGTTCCTGTATCCAGATTTTTTTTCTATTGGATTTACAAGCTAAGAACTGTGCATATTTTCAAGTATCATGTGTCTGTAATCCCTGATAGCATGGCCTGTGCTCAACACAGAGTTCTTCTCTGCAGGTGTCCAGAAAGGAAACTTTTGGCCTTGCATTACTTTTAGGACATCCTCATAAATTACCCTCTAGTTGGAGCCTTACAGAATCCAGGAGATAGTAAACACCAATAACCTCTGAATTTAACAGCTATTTGGGATCCATTTAAGTTCATTTAGACTGAATGCTAGGCAATGAAACAGTCAAGAATTAAAGAAATCAAGAAGTCTGTAGTCACAAAGTAGAGACATTAGTAAGACCAAAAGGCCAGACAGACTATGCTCCATAATGGGCATGTGTCAAAACAGAAAAACTAAGAGTTAAATAAATGACTGAGTCAGACAGAAAATGTGTGATTAGGGCTGGAATATTGTCCCATAGTTGGAAGCCTATATCATGAGCTGGGGGAGAAGGCAGCTGGAAAAGAGAAGCGATCACAAAGACAATGATGGTTGGTTTCTTGGGAATGCCTCCCAAATAGCTGTTAAATTCAAACAACAGAGTTCAAGTTGAAAATAAAGAGGAAGAGAAGAATGAAAGAAAACTCGAGAGGAAAGCTAACAAGCTAAAGTTCTATTTTAAAGAATATTATTGAGGGCCAGAGAAATAGTAAACAGGTTAAGGCATTTGCCTTGCATGTGGTCAACCCTGGTTCAAACCCCAGTATCATACATGTTCCCTTGAGCACCGCCAAGGGTGATTCCTGAGCACAGAGGAGTAAGCCCTAAGAACAGCTATATGTGGCCAAATAAGCATGATGATAATAATAACATTAATAATAATAATAATAATGATTTAATCCTCCTGCCAAATCCTCTCATAACCTACCCTTTTTCACTTAGTCCTCATGCTAGTGAGTTGACTACTCATCATCTCAAAAACAATTTTGGCAGTTTCACTCTCAATTCTAGAATGTTATCAGCATAAACACAGCAATAACAAAAACCAACACTTACGCTGCAAAACAAAGAGAGATTATCTTCATACCATATCCTTATGGGAGAAGACTAAAAGCTGAACAAGGGCCTGGAACTTAGTAAAGGGATTTGATCCCCGGCATCATATGACCTGCCCATCATCACCCACTGATTGTATCTCTGAAGGTGCCCTGAGGACCACTAGGAGTAGCCCTGGGGGCTCCATCACTGCCAGGCAGCAATGGTGGCCCCCAGTAGAAGGCTGGGCAGCACTGGACCTTTCAGCCCTAGTAGATCCCCCCCGAACTCAGGAGGACCACTTGGAACATCCAAAAAACAAATTAAAAACACATAAGTTACTTACTAAGTAAACTGTCTAACATATCTACATCCAAATCTGTGGATTTCTTTTGCTGCTGGGCTACTAACTGGCAAAAGTCCTGAGCAGCTCTCACGATATCCGCTTTTCCATCTTCTGGGGACAGCACCTTCACTCTGGACTGGCAATTTAAAACTAGAGGAAAAACAAAACAAGATATTAAAACAAACAAAACACTCCACCCTGTCCTATAGGTTTCAAAATCAACTTTAACTACAAGTTAGCTTACAATTACAAGCTATTAGTCTAAAATGTCATTTGCAATCATGCTATAGTTAGCAATAACATGAGAACAAAAATGAAGGCCATATGTAAAAACCCAAGATTTCAACAGAATCAGTCGAGTATGTGCTATTCCACTGGCTCCATAACAGAATCAATGTAATATGCATTTTCTATATCACTCAACTTATCAAACTGATCCCAAGGAAGTTATTTTATGATGACAGGATTCTAATCAATAGACAGCAATACCAAATTCTTATCTATAGACATGCAAATTCATTCTTGCCTGATAGAGGGTCAATTACCTTACATCTAACTCAATTTTTAAAAGTTTGCTTCCATTTACATATTCAATATTTCTGATCTGCAAATTTCTGTTCTTCAGCATCTCTTTGGAACCTGTTATAAAACCTGTTTGATTCCTGGTTATGAGTTAAATAAAATCCTTAGCATATATTCATTCTTGAGTCTGACTTCACCTTTTCCAGAAAACAATCCCTAAATAAAACAATCTCGAAATAAAAATCTCGAAATAAAAAAAATAAGTCCTATGAGTCTGACTTCACCTTTTTCAGAAAAACAATCTCTAAACAAAATGAAGGAAAAGTTTAAATGTGATAATTAGGGCAAATTAAAAGAGTAACAAAATTTTTGCTTTAAAAGGCATCTTCAGGGAGCTGGAGTGATAGCACAGTGGGCAGGGCGTTTGCCTTGCACACGGTGAACCCAGGTTCGATTCCCAGCATCCCATATGGTTCCCCGAGCAACACCAGGAGTAATTCCTGAGTGCAGAGCCAGGAGTAACCCCTGAGCATCGCTGTGTGTGACCCCTGCTCCAGAAATAAATACATAAAAATAAAAGGCATCTTCATATGTTAGAGATTCAATTTTACATTCATGCTTACCTTGATCATCTTTGTCATTACTATTTGCAAATTCTGGTGAGTACTTGGAACAATCTAAGCCCAGAAGTTCCTGTTGCTGTTTTAATATTTCATCCATCAATCTGGAATTATTTCTTTTGAAAATGCCTTAGGAAGGAAAAAAGCAAAGTAAATCCAAAGGAAGCAAATTTATTCTCTCCAATAATTGATGGCTGCTTGCTATCAATTAAAAACACTGGATTCAGAAATAAACAAATTTCAAATGAAGAGATTGTGACTAGCCATAACAACTAGGATCTAAAAGGAAAGCATGATTAACAAAACTTTAAAGAGCAGCTTCAGACTGAAGTCAAATAGAAGACAGGACAAAACTACTTGGTGTGAGTATACATATAAAATTTGTACCCAGAAAGCAAACTTCTATAGCTTATTTACTGGAAACTACAGAGACTGAGGATCAAGATTCTTAATTTAAGAATAAACTACAGTTCCTATGTTGCCGATTCCCTTCTTACTTACTCTGTGCATTCAATACTAACACCTCAATTTGATTAGTTTTTTTATCATAAAAGATACTAAAATAATGTAAAAAAAAAGTACAGAACACAAAACCAGAATCAAAATATAGTGAGAAACATGGAAATACACTACAAAAACTATTTTTGATCCCTCAACTATACACAATAATGTTCCAAGTTTTAACAAAATTGTGCCACTGACAAAGAAAAAGGAACTATTTAACATACATTTAATTATAAAACATAGAGAGTTCTAACCGAGAGACAAGATTTGCTCATCTTCAGATACATAGCTTTTAAGTGGCCACTGTTTCTGTGACCTTTCTAAATTGTTCCTATCTGACTTAAAAATGGTTCAATCTGGGGCCAGAGCGATAGTACAGCAGGTAGGGCGTTTACCTTGCACACGGCTGACCCGGGTTCAATTCCCGGCATCCCATATGGTTCCCCAACACTGCCAGGAGAAATTCCTGAGTGCAGAGCCAGGAGTAACCCCTGAGCACTGCTGGGTGTGACCCAAAAAGCAAAAAAAAAAAAAAAAAAAGGTTCAAAGGTTCAATGTAACTGGAAAAGAGAACACAGTAAACACTGATAAAATAACACACAGAACCTGATGAATATGCTGTATACAAATGCCAACTTGATAATGTATATGCAATATCAGTTCAAAGATAAAAATACAGTCTTCTTTTGGTAAGGGGAAACTATAAAATAAACAACACTTGAACTGAGCTCAACCTAGATACATAAAAAGAAGAAAACAGCATACTAAAAAAAAGTGTAAACAAAAATATTAAATACTGAAAAGACAGACAAATAATACTATTGGGGCAAAGGATTTAAGAAAGTGTGGTAAACAACTATTTCTGAGGAATGTGAAAATGAGTAGAAGAATCTATTTTTATGGAAAAAAACAGGCAATATATAGAGAACAGGAAGCAGAACATCTAAATAGTTCATACATAATTTGATGAAGCAATGAAAAAGATTCACGACAAAGAAAAATTATAGAGAATGAAGAGCATGACTTTCTTAGTGGTTAACACAGAAAATTCTAACTTTAATCCTGAAACTAGTAACTTCCTAAAGGGAAAATTCTACAAAAAGGATTGCCTGGAAGAAAAGAGAAATTTCTATCGAGTCAGTTGATGACAAAAAATGTGTGTGTGTGTATGTGTGTGTGTGTGTGTGTGTGTGTGTGTGGTGGAGGAAGGAAGTGATACACAAGTGACTAAGAGATCTGAGAAAAGGACACTCAAACAAGGTCCTCTACCACAGCATCTGGAAGAGAACTGACAATCAACAACAACAAAAAATAAATGTCAGCCTGTTAGCAAGCTAGCAACTGTCTGGGGGACTGAGAAGGGCCTCTAGGACAACAGTTTAATTCAGGAATAAAGAATGAGAAGAGGTTTTACAGAGATGGGTCTAGGAAGGCAACATGATAAAGAATTGATGATGGAGATGAAGGTATACATTTGAGGGTCATCCACTTAAGGTGGAAGCTGCAGATAACAAATGACAAATAAAATCCCCAAAGATAAGGAACTTTCATGCCACTTTTATAGATGAAGAATTAAACCCAGAAAGGTCAAGCAATTAGTCTATAGTCTTTGGCTGCCAGGAATTCTAACCATTTCCTCCTCTCTTTTTGCAATGGGGTGGGGAATTGGAATATATTTAGTTGTGCTCTGGAGCTACTCATGGCCTTGAGCTCAGGGGGGACCCCTGGCAGTGAGCAGGAGACCATATACAGTGACAGGGTTCAAAACCAAGGTATCAAGCCAAAGCTGCTGCACACAAAGTCCTTAACCTCCTTCTTGTATCATCTCCCAACCTATAATTAGTTAATTATTTATAATACTGAAAAGCAACTTCACTAAATGCACTTCATTAGTAAATTTTGAATTCCCTTCCCCAAAAAGTTGAACTTATTTAATATAAAAAACCTTAACAAATGAGCATTATCTTTTTAAAAGCTAGAATAAGAATTCTCTTTTTTAAAGGCTTTTCGGAGGGTTTAAGGGTCAAAGAGATTTAAAAGGGAATGCTTGCCTTGCACACGGCCACCCTGGATCATCTCCAGCACCACACAAGATCCTTTGCGAACTTCCAGAAATGATCCCTAACTACTGCCAGGTGTGACCCAAAACCAAACACCGAAAACAGAGAAAAGGCTTTTAGGAAGGTTTCACAGAACTAACAGATAAATTTAAATTCCTCAGGAATGATTTGGGAACCTAAAATATGACTTTGCAATAATGATTTAAAGAAGTTTTTGGTTTGGTTTGGTTTGGGGGCTTCACCTGGCTATGCTCGGGGCTTACTCCTCTTTTTATGCTCAGGGATCTTCTTGGCAGAGCTCAGGAGACCACATGGGGTGCTGGGGAGGGAACGTGCAAGGTAAGTGCCCTCCCTGCTGTACTAGTTAACTACAGCATTCCTGCTCTTGATTTAAAGAATATTATGTTTTGTTGCCTTACAAGTGTATCGGGACTATTTTTCAAATATAACCTATGGGACACACACAAACACATATTAAAAAACAAGCACACAAGAGGATTGAGAAAGGTAGCAGGTAGGGTGCTTGCCTTACAGCAGCCCAAGTTTGATCTCTGGTGCCTCATGTGGCCCCTGGAACTGCACCTGATCACAAAGTCAAGAGTAAGCCCTGAGCACAGATGGGTGTAGCCCCAAACCAAACACACAAATAACAAAATAAATAAACACAAGAAAAATGTACCAATTCTATTAAAGAGTATTATGATAGAAAAGGGGACTCCTCAAAGTTTCTGGCATTGATAATCACTGGCCATGACTTTGGGTACTAAATGCACATTTTTATTTTTTATTTTAATGTAGGAGTACTATTTATTCAGCCACTCATTAAGTTGACTGAATTGGGCATGAACTCCACGTTACAATTTTTTAAATATCTGTGAGACTGACCACTGCAAAGCTGTTCATACTTGGGTTTCAGTGATACAATGATCCAGCACCCATCCCTCCACCAGTGTGCATTTTCCACCAATGTCCCGTTTCCCTCCCACCATCCCCCCACCGCCCACCCCCAGCCTCCCTCTATAGGAGGCACTTTCCTTCTTGTTCTCTCTCTCCTTTTCTATTTGTGCATTATGACTTGCAATACAGGTGCTAAGAGGTCATGATGTGTGTCCAGGGCATTTGGTATTTTTATCAGGACAGTAAGGCTGGAGTAGCTTTTCAATTGGGTGGCAGCTTTGGGGTGCGAATGTGACTCCTAAGGTCCCCAGAAGTATAGAGAGGTGGGGGAAGGTAGCCCATCCTGACCCCAAGAAAGCCTCGAGATTTCAGTTACAAAACTCAACAAACCAGAATTTTCAGCAGATTATGTCTCGGTGGGGTCCATCCTGAAATGGTGGAGTCAGGCTGAGGGTATGGTGGTGATTTTGGATTGTGGGAGCAAGCAGCTGCTGGGGGCTCTGCTTGGGCAGGCACCAGGCTGATCCACACCTCTCCGATTTACTCCTGTCTGTTCAGCCTTGTGCAGGTCTGAGATTAGCTGCAGCTTTTGATCGCTTTCAATATTTATTTACAGGTTTCTGAAGCAAAGCCAGTAGTAGAGCTTACATGGTGGTGCTGAAGTGGGATCGTGGGGGTGACTGCCAGTACTTCCAGGAGTATTGGAAAGTGAGGGGAGATAGCCCCACTCCGAGAAAGTCTGGAGATTTCAGTCTCAAAACCCGCATACCCAAATTTTCAGCAGATTATATCTTGGTGAGGTCCGTCCTGAGACAGTGGAATTGGGCTGTGGGTATGGTTGCAATTTTGATTGTGGAAGCAAGCAGCTGCCAGGGGTTCTGTTTGGGCAGGCTCTTGGCTAACCCACCCTCCTCCAACCTACCCCAGTCTGTTCAGCCATACACGTCCAAGATTAATTGTGGCTTTTGATCTCTTTCGGTATTTTCTTATAGGTCTGTGAAATAAGGTCAATAAATGCGCTTGTATAGCTGAGCCGGAGGTTTGTGGGCATGGTTTCTACATACCTAACTTTTGGTCTTTTAATTTCTTGGTAAACTCGGTCCCAAGTTACTGGGGCCCAGCCAAAGGCACAGCAGCAATTTTGTGGTATCAGGAAGCCTGAAGGCACCATCAGGCTGCTGATGCACTCACCCCACAGGTACAGTCTGACCTACTGACGGCACCATACCCCCAATGCACACTTCTTTCATATACTCTAAGAAATGTATCTTTTTAAATTCTACTGCAATAAAGTACATAAGATATTTGAAGTTTAAATCATGTACCCCAATCACACTGACAAACCATATATCCACTAATCCACTAATATAAAACACATATCTCCAGTTCTTAGTAATTCCTTATCTTTGTCCAAGAGCATTTTTAATTCCAGCATATGGGATTATAAACATTTGTATGATCTTCCACACTTGTGTTACACGTATCCTTCCTTAGTGCTAATCTTGATAATCTTGACATCTTGACAACTGAACTATTATTATGGGGGGAAGGGCAGGTTGGTGTGTAATGACCGAACTCCTGGCTCCAAGTTCAAGGGTTGCTCCTGGTTCTTCTCTGAAGACCATGTGGTGCTGATCTCCAGTTCCAAGAACTAATTTAACAAAAAGA